CAGGACAACATTACAATTTAAAAAATTATTGAGGAAACCAAAGACCTTTTATTTATGTAGATTACATCTATTGATGTTTACTGTATTTGAAATTAAAATTGGAAAAAATTTTAATGTTTATTAGTTTATTAAAAATAATAGTATTAAACTACTATATGATATTGGAAAACATTTTTAATAATAACAAATCTTCAAAACAAAAAAATTAGTGCAAAGAGTGGTACTGTTTTAAATTTTTGCAAATCTCTTTAACGTCTCACTGGATTAGTTTGCTAGGGCTGCCATAAAAAAATGCCACAGACTAGGTGGCTTAAACAACAGGAATTTATTTACTCACAGTTCTGGAGGGCAGAAGTCCAAGATCAAGGTGTCTGCAAGGTTGATTTCTCCTGAGGCCCCTCTCCTTGGCTTGCTGGTAGCCACCCTCTTGCTGCCTCTTCACATGGTTGCCCCTTTGTGCGTATGCACCGCTGGTGACTCTCTGTACATCCAAATTTCTCTTCTCATAATGACACCAGTCAAGAGTTATTAGGAGTCACCCTAACAGCCACATTTTAACTTATCACCTCTTTAAAGGCCCTATCTCCTAAAACAGTCACATTCTCAGGCACTGGAAGTTAGGGTCTCAACATATGAATTTGAGGGGGGACGTAATTCAGTTGATAATAATGGCTCAATAGAAGATAGCTGAATTCTGAGATCTTCTTTTGCATTAAATATTTTGCAATATCACATGCCATGCAGCTTCTGAAAAACAGCAATCTATACTCATGAGAAAAATGAGAATGAAAAAGGTAATGTCTTAGAATTATTATGAAAATAGTTCTGCTGCTCCAGAGTAACACCAAAATAATAAATGAATGTATAATTAAACTGAATAGAGTAGAAAAATGAGAAAATGAAACATATTTGAGTATTCCGAAGAAAAGCAAGAAAGGAGAAACAAAAGAAACAGGCAAAACAAATAGAGAGACTTACACCCAAATATATTAGTAATTACATTAAATGAAAATGGATTACACTCACCAATTAAAATACAAAGATTATCAGACTAGATAAAAATAAGACCCAAAATATATGCTACTTAAAGGAGATACACTTTAAATGTAAGGACACAGGTTAAGTTAAAAGTAAAAGGATAGGAAAAAGACATATAGCATGTGTATTTGTTTTCTACTGCTACATAACACATTTATGGAAACAACGGCTTAAAACAACAACTATTTATTAGCCCACAGCTCTGTGGGTCAGAAGTCCAAGCATGGCATGGCTGGGTTCTCTGCTCAGGTCTCAAAGGCTGAAATCAAGGAGTCAACGGGTCAATTCTTGTCTGAAGGCTGAGGAAACAGCAACTCCAAGTGAAGTCAACTTGTTAGCAAAATTCAGTTCTTTGAAGTTGCAGCACTGAGGCTCCTGTTTCCCTGCTGGCTCTCAGTCACAAACTGCTTTCAGTCCCTAAAGGGTGCCTACACGCCTTGTCACACAGCCCCTCTATCTTCAAAACCAGCAATGAAGAATGTCGCTCACACTGAGTCCCCCTTATACACCAAATCTCTCTCACCAGGACGAGCCCCACACTTTTTAAGGTCTCAACTGATTGGGTCTGGCCCACTGAGCGTAACTGCACTATTTTCAGTCAACTGATTTGGGACCTTAATTATATTTGTGAAATCCCTTCACAAAAGCACCTAGATTAGTGTTTGACTGAATAACTGGGAACTGCTTGTATACCAGGGGCTGGGAATCTGGGAACCAATTTAGAATTCTGCCTACCACACCATGCAGACACTAACAAAAATAAAATTGTCTTGGCTATATTAATATCAGAAAAAGTATAATTTATGGCAAAAAACCTTACTAGAGTTAGAGGATGCTTGATATAGATAAAAGGGTCAACTCAACAAGAAGATATAACAATCCTAAATTTACATGCACTGAATATTTATATGCACTTGCATATATATATAATATATATTCAAGATGTAGAAAGCAAACATTAATAGAAATAAAAGAAAAAAAAGATAAATCCACAATCATAGTTGGAGATTTGAAGACACCATTCTTAGTAGCTTATAGTTCAAGCAGAAAAATAAATCAGTACAAATATAGAAGATTTGAAGAATGCTATTAACCAACTTGGTCTAATTAATATTTATAGAACATTACAGCTAACTGCAGAAATTTCAAGTGATAAGTCTTATTTCCATGCTATTTTCATGTGAACGTGGAGCACTTACCAAAATAGACCATTGGCTGAGCCACAAAGTAAGTATCAACAAATTTCAAATGACTGAAATAATACAGTGTGTTCTTTGACCACAGTGGAAATTAGCTAGAATTCCATAATATATAAATAGAAAATCCACAAATTCATTAAAAGTAAGCAACATGCTTATAAATAACCCCAGGGTCAAGGTAGAAATAACAAAGAAGTTTAGAAAATATTTTTAACTGAATGATAATAAAAATACAACATATCAAAATCTGTGGTCAGAAAGATTAACTCAAAATGGATCACAGGCCTGTATATAAAATCTAAAACCATACAACTTCTAGAAAAAAACATGGGAGAAGAAACTCCAGAACCTTAGGGAAAGTGAAGATTTCTTGGAGAGGACCCAAAAAGCATGACCCATAAAAAGGAAATGTTAAACTGATATCCTTCAAAATAAAAACATCTGCTCTTCAAAAGACACCACTAAGAAAAGTTAAAAGGGAAGCCATATTCTGGGAGAAAATATTTACAAAACATATCTGACAAAGGACTTGTATCTAGACTATATAATCATTATCATCATCTAATTTAAATGGGCAAAAAACTTAAACAGATACTTCACAAAGGAGAGATATAAATAGCCATTAAACACATAAAAAATGTTCACCATTAATCATCAGAGAAATGCAAACTAAAACCACCATGAAGTACTAGTACACACATTAGAAAAGCTAAAATTAAACACTGACTTATATACCTGAAACTAATACAATATTGTAAATCAACTATACTTTAATAAAATTTAAAAAAATTAAAGACTGACAATACCATGAGTTGGCAAGGCTAGGAGTAACTAGAGCACTCATACATTGTTGGTGGGTTGCAAAATGGTACTTTGGAAGACAACTTGGCAGTTTCTTATAAAATATTACATACATTTGCCATATAACCCAGCAACTCCGAACCTAGGTATTTATATAATAGAAGTGAAAATATGTCTACACAGAGCTTATACGTGAATGTTCACAGCTGGTTTATTCATAACAGCTCTAAAGTGGAAACAATACAAATGTCCATCAATGGCTGAATAAACTGTAGTATATTAACACTATGGGAATGAAGTACCAACCACATAACATGAATGAACCTCCAAATTCATGAGTGAAGAAGGTAGAAAGAAAACAGTATATACTATATAATTCCATTTATATGAAACTCTAGAAAAGACAATTCTAATACATAGCGATAGAAAGCAGATTAACGGTTTCTTGGAATCAGAGGTGGGGACAATTTTGCGGTGATGAAAAATGTTCTATACCTTGATTTTGGTGATGGTTATACAGGTGTGTAAATTTGCCAAAACTCATCAAAATATAAAGTTAAATCTGGTACAACTTATTATGTGTAAATTATGTCCCAATAAAGTTGATTAAAAAAACCTCTACTTGATGAAGCTAAATAGGAACTTATAGAAAAATTTAGACTTAAATATTTGCAAAAAAGAAAGGTTGAATATCAATTATCTAAGATCTCATTTCAAGAAGCTAGAAAAAGAACAATGAATCAAATTCAAATAAAGTAGATAGAAGAAAATAAAAGAGCATGAGTCAATGAAAAAGAAATTAGCTGTCTTATTAGTTAAGAGGTGGCTTTTGAAAAGATTAATAAAGTGTTAAATCCCTACAGAGCCTAACACAGAAAACAAAAAGAGAGTACACAAATTACCAATACCAAGACTGAAAAGGGAATATCACTTTAGATCCTACAGAGATTAAAAATATAACAAGCAGGCATTATCAATTACTTAAAGCCAATAATTAGATATTTTAATGAAATGATATAGACAAATTAGAAATAAAACTTAGCAAAATTGACACGAGATAGAATATCTCAATAGTCTTATGCCTATCAAAGTAACTGAATCTATAATTTAAAACTTTCCTACAAAGAAAATTCCAGGCTCATTGGGCTTTACTGTTCATTTTTACAGAAAAGGTTTATGGAAAAAAATAATACCAACTGAAATAACAACAAACTCTTCCAGAGGGGGGAAAAAGTAATTACCAATTCATTTTACAAGCCCAGCATTATCCCAGACACTAAATCCTGACAAGGCTACTAAAAAAAAGGAAACATACAAGACAATCTGGACATAGACATAAAATCCGATATAAAATTTTGAAAATCTAACTGAACAATATTTTTAAAAGGTAATATATAATGACCAAATAGAATCTATTCCAGGCATGCAAGGTTGCCTTAACATTCAGAAATCAATCCATACAGATGAATTTTGAGAACATTTTGCTCAGTGAAGTTAGTCACAAAAGAATAAATATTTACATAAGGTACCTAAAGTGGTCAAATTCACAGAGACAGACTGAAGACAGAAAGTAGAATGATAGTCTCCAGGGGCTAAGAGAAGCGGGTAGTGTGGAGTTATCGTTTAATGAATATTGAGTTTCAGCTTAGAAAAATGAAGAGTTTTGGATGGTGATGATGGCTACAACAACATGAATGTACTTAATATCACTGAATTATACACTTAAAAATGGTTCAGATGGGGCTTCCCTGGTGGCGCAGTGGTTGAGAGTCCACCTGCCGATGCAGGGGACACGGATTCGTGCCCCGGTCCGGGAAGATCCCACATGCTGCAGAGCGGCTGGGCCCGTGAGCCATGGCCACTGAGCCTGCGCGTCTGGAGCCTGTGCTCTGCAACGGGAGATGCCACAACAGTGAGAGGCCCGTGTACCGCAAAAAAAAAAAAAAAAAAAAAAAGGTTCAGATGGTAAATTTTATGTTATGTGTATTTTACCGCAATTTTTAAAATAAAAAAAATCAATCCGCATAATTCAACCACATTAACAGGATGAGAAAAGCCAAACGGTCATCTCAATAGCTACAAACTACGTATCTGATGAAATTCAATACCTGTCCATGATAAGAAATCTCAGCAAACTAGGATTTGAGGAGAATTCCCTTAATCTGATAGAGATTATCTACAAATTTATACCTCATATCATTTCTAATGGAATGTTTAGGATTTTCCTTTAAATTCTGGGAAAAAGGCAAGGATGCCTACAATTTTTACTTTTGAAGGTCCTAGCCAGTGCAATAAAGCAAGAAAAAAATGGCATAAATATTGGAAAGGGTGAGGTAAGAAAGATTTTACTTTATCACAGGTGACATATTGTGTATGTAGAAAGTCCGAAAGAATGAACAAACTATTATAATTAACAAGTGAATTTTAGGAAGGTCACTGGATATAAGCTCAGTTAAAAAAAATCTATTATACATATCATTACTTATTACATATTATATATTTAATATATTATATATAGTTATGTATTACATATATTAGCAAATCAGAAAATGAAATTAAGATAATAGCCTTTATAGAATCACCAAAACATCAAATATATAATAACCTTACAAAATATTCAAAATTTTATTGAAAAAATACAAAAATTACTAAAATTAAAAGATGTGTATAAATGAAAAGGTATGGCCTGCTTATAGATTGGATGTCTCAATGTTGTTAAGGTACCCATTCTTCCAAAACTAATCTATATATGTGATGTAATATCCATTGAAATCCCTACTTTTTATGGTGGAGTAACTGAAAAAATAATCATTCTAAAATGCATATGAAAATGCCAAGAACATAGAATTACAGTGACAATTTTGAATAAGAAGAACAAAATTAGAAGACATATACCACCAGATGCCAAGATTTACTATCAACCTGTTTTCACTAAAAATATTTGGTATTCAACAGAACAATGAGTCAGAATAGATAATCTAGAAATAGACCCCCTCACATAATCTGACCATCTGACTTATCACAAGGGTACCCAAGGGGGAGGGGAAAAGATGGTCTTTTCAACAAATGATGTTGAATAAATTGTGTATTTGCATGGAAAATATTAAATTGACCTCTACTCCACACCATATAAAAATATCAGATGGATTGTAGCCTAAAACTGAAAAGTAAAACAGTAGCTATGCAGAAGTAAATGTAGGAAAATATCCTATGACTTTGGGTTAGGAAAAGATTTCTTAAACTAGGCACAAAAAAGTAGTAATCATAAAAGAAAAGATTGTTGAATTATTCATCAAAGTTAAAGACTTCTGTCCATCAAAAGACAACATTTAGAGAGTGAAAAGGCAAGATGCTGATGAGTAGATATTTGTAATACAAATATCTAAAAATACCTTGTATCCAGAATATATAAAGAATCCTACAAATAAACAGAAAGAGTTATCAATAAAAATGGGCAAAAGTCTTGAACAGGCACTTCTCAAAAGAGGATATTCCAAAAGCCAATAAACACCTAGAAGGGGACTCAACATCAGTAGAGAGTAAGGAAATGATATTAAACCTATAGTGAGATACCACTACACACTGGAACCAGGCTTTGGCACCTTAGCAGTTCATGGAAACTGCTCTAGTAAAGGTGCCCTGTATCATCTCCATCCCCTAACCTGATGGACACCTTTCAGTTCTTATGTCACTTGAACCTGCTGACCTTACTCCTCTTCTACCTTCTAAGGCAGTGAAGAGAGACGGGGTTTAGGTGTGGTGAGGGTTTGAAGGTAGATACGAGCAGCCAAAAAAGTTGACATCAAGTCATGTAGACTGTTTGACAATAGAGTTTCTCAAGGATAGTATTTCAAGGTCAGACCCTTAAACTTTCCAATCAGAAAGTGGTACATTTATCCAAAGTAGACACATCTCCTGGTAATGGTTAATAAATTTCACTATTATAATTCAATCAGAAATAGTCATTTCAACCACAATGTCAAATTATTCATTTTAAAATGGGAGACAGCTCACATCAGTCACCCAATATCCCCTTCCCAATATTAAAGACTTATCCTAGCATTGTGGGAGAAGTATTTGATTTTCTTTCCTTCAGTCTCCACTGAAGTGTAGCTCTACATGCCTTGTCCTTTTCAGATGTTAGGTCCACGGTCTCTTAGGGCTTTCCAGTACCAGGGTCACAGCCTCTGGGTTCCCATTTTGACTCCAGGACTCTCTTAGTATTTCCAGAACTTCCAAGCTTTTATACATGGACTTTGGAGTTCTTGGCTGTTTCCCTCTCTATACTCCATCACAGTGTTCTGTGGAGCTGTACACAGACCTTTACACCACTGTGATCTTTCCTTTGGTGCCATGTTGAAAGTGGAACTTGTCTCTGAAGCTTGCAAGTCTTCTGGTCTATAATCTGGACACAGGTTCCAGATATTCTCGGATATGTTTTTCATTTACCTGAAATCTCTATTACCTCCTCCAAACGAAACTGAGAGGGTGGGGGGGGGATCCTGAAGTGCTGGAAAACTTCTTTGGAATCTAGATGGTACCAAGACCAGTTTCCATGCTCTTAGATCCATGACCACTCCTGCCCTGCCAAGGTATATCCAGCACCTAGGGTAATTCCTGGGCTATCACAGGTGTCTAGTAAATTAGCTTCACAAGAAAAATAGGTTTTTCATGTTTATATAAATATTACATGCTCATTGGAAAGAAAAACTGAGAAATACAGAAAAGCAGAGAGAGGTAAAACAAACAAAAAACACTGGATTCTGCAACAAATCTAAAACAACTGTCATTAACTTTTTGGAGACTGTCCCTTCATTCATGGCTATCAAAAGTTCACACAAATACATAGTTTCATACCATACATACTGCATTTACATTTTTCTATTTTCCTAGTTTTCCCCCCCACTTATATCACTGCTTCTCCTTTTCTCCCTCCCTTCAAGGTAACGAATATTAACAGCCTGATGTATATTCTTCCATACTTGTTTCCATGCTCATCTAATCACATGCACACATACATGCATACATAAAGGCATGTGACCATTACTTTAACAAAAATGAAATCTTGTACATATACATCTCTGTAATAAAGCAAATACTTATCAAAAAATTGTGGAAATACCTTGAAGTCAACTAGTGTAGCTATAACTCATTTTAAAAATTACTCTCATACGTTTCCATGGTATGGCTATATCACAATTTATTCACCCATTCCCCTATTAATTGGCATTCACTTTGTCTCCAGTTGGGTTTCTTCTCTGTCTCTACAAACAGTACTTTAATAAACATCCTTATTTATACATATGCTTTTACACTGATGCTATTATTTCTGTGGGGCAGATTCCCCAAAAGTGAGACTGCTGGGTCAAAGTGCTTTTAAAATTTTACTTAATTAAAAAAAATATATACCGCTGGATTGCTGGTGGAAATATAAGTTGATATAACCATTTGGTAAGAGTATATGGTTTGCCAAACTCCACTAGCAAAAGATCTCTTAATTTTTGCCAACTCCATGAAGTGGAAGTAACATATCATTGGTTGTTTCAATTTGCGTTTCCCTGAGTATTGTTTATTTAGGTTCATAATATTTTCATAGGTTAATGCATTTGGAGTTGTTCTTCTATGAAGAGCCATCTAGTCCAGGTGGATTAAAACTTCAATGTAAAAAATAAAATTATCAGAATATTAGAAACAAATTTAGGAGACTATATATAACCTGGGGATTGCTAAAAGAGTAAATAAAGAATATAAAAAGGAAAAGATGTAAATATTTTACTATGAAAAATTAAAGACTTAAAAACCTTTTACTACATAAAAAAATACAAAGAAATACTACGTTAAGAAAAACATTTGCAACACATATGTCAAATGATTAATATCTCAAATATATTAACACCTCCAGATTTATAAGAAATATAAACCACTAAGAAAATCAGCAAAAAAATAGGCAATTCATCGAAGATAATTTGTTAAATGAATAAAATATGAAATTTGGATGAAGGCTTTCATTTGCCCTTTTTATTATGAATTTTCTTATAACTTCTAAGATTTAATATGACCAATTGCTTTTCTACATTCTTATATTTATGAAGTGTGTACTTTCTGGTAAATTGCTCCTGAACATTTTCCCACATTCATAAAATATAGTTTATAAGATTCTTGTTATATCTGGATGATAATTTTCTGTCCTCTATATTAATTGAGCTTCTCTCTGATGTATTCTTTGATGTACAGTAAGGCTTGAGCTACTCCTAAAGGCTTTTCCACATTCACTACATTTATAGGGTTTTTCTCCAGTGTGCATCCTCAGATGTACAGTGAAGTCTGAGTTAGTTCTGAAGGCTTTTCCACATTCTTCACATCTATAGGGCCTCTCCCCAGTATGAATTCTCTGATGTAGAGTTAGCTGTGATAGAGTAATACAACCTTTCCCACATTCCTTACATGTATAGGGCTTTTCTCCAGTATGTGTTCTCCAATGCACTGTAAGGTATGAACCTCTCCTGAAGGCTTTTCCACAGACATCACATTTATAGGGTTTCTCTCCACTATGGATTTTCTGATGTTCTGTGACGTGTACCATCTGGCTAAATGCTTTGCCACAGTCATTACATTTAAATGGTTTCTCCCCGGTATGTGTCCTTTGGTGGGTATTAAAGCCTGAGTTACTTGTGAAAACCTTCCCACACTCATTACATTTATAGGGTTTTTCTCCAGTATGCCTTCTTTGATGCACAGTAAGCTGTGATGTATTAGTGAAAGCTTTCTCACATTCATTACACTTATATGGTTTTTCTCCAGTATGGGTTCTTTGATGTACAATAAGGTATGACTTAGTTCTGAAGGATTTTCCACAATCATAGCAGTTGTAGGGTTTCACACCAGTATGAATTTTCTGGTGCTCCTTGAGATTTACCATCTTGGTAAATGCCCTCTCACAGTCAGTACATTTATATGGTTTCTCTCCAGTATGAATCCTCTGATGTACAGTTAAGTGTGATTTTATTCTGAAAGATTCCCCACATTCATTACAGAGATAAGGTTTCTCCTCCGTATGAATTCGCTGATGTATAATTAGAGATGAAGAACGCATGAAGGCCTTTCCACATTCATTACATTTATAAGGTTTCTCTCCTGTATGCATTCTGTGGTGTACAGTAAGGCATGAATAATTGATGAATGCTTTCCCACATTCATTACATTTATAGGGTTTTTCTCCTGTATGAATCCTCTGATGTTCTGTGAAATTTGCTATACGATTGAATGCTTTCCCACATTCATTACATTCATAGGGTTTTTCCCCAGTATGAGTTCTTATATGTACAATAAGGCTTGAATTACTTCTATAGGCTTTCCCACACTCATTACATCTAAAGGGTTTCTCTCCAGTATGAATTCTCTGATGAACATTAAAGATTGTGGTATTCTTGAAAGATTTCCCACACTCAATGCATTTATATGGTTTCTCTTCAGTATGGGTCTTCTGATGTACACTAAGATATGACTTATTCCTGAAGGCTTTCCCACAATCATTACATTTGTAGGGTTTTTCTCCATTGTGAGTTTCCTGATGTCTTGCAAGTTTTGATTTATCACCAAAAGCTTTCCCACATTCACTACATTTATAGGGCTTCTCTCCAGTTTGAATTCTCTGGTGTTGATTAAGGCGGGCACACTGGCTGAAAGATTTTCCACAGACATTGCACTGATAAGGTTTCTCCTTAGTATGAATTCTCTGATGCACCATAAGGGATGAAGAAGCAATGAAGGCCTTTCCACATTCATTACATTTATAGGGCTTTTCTCCAGTGTGAATTTTTTTATGTTGACTAAGATATGAAGGCTGGCTGAACATTTTCCCACATTCATTACATTCATAAGGTTTTTCTTTAGTGTGAGTTCTCTGATGTTGAATGAGTAATGACCTATAACGGAAGGCCTTTTCACATGTACTACATTTATAGGGTTTTTCTTTATTATTGTTTTTTTTCTCTAAAGTGAGTTCTGAAGCAGGGCTTATGACTTTGTTGCCTTCTGTATCCTTGCACATTTTCTTCCCCAGATGGGTATCTGTAATCAAATCTAAATTCTCTGTAAAATTTTCCTCATGTGTTTGGTATTTGCTGTGGGGCTCTTCTGTGATAACTCCTGGTTCTGGAAAAAGAACAGATCCAAATCTAAAGCCTTTTTGAAGAGTGGGAATTTTCTTGTGTTTAACTATTCTCTGACTCAAATGACTTTCTTGACTATCTTGCCATCTCAATATCCTGTCACTCCATTTCCATAATCCTCCCATTTTGGTGTCCCATAGACCATTCTCTATGAGTTTCTCTACTATGGTCTCCTGTGATAAACATTCTTCAGAAATATTCTCTGTTGGTAGAGCATTCTTGGTTGTAGGTTTGGTCTCCAACTCTGGGAGGAAAAAAGAGAGAAATCAAATGACTTCTATTTCCTAGATTGAAGACATCACACTAAACAGGAAAACAAAAGGGAAGCTTGAATTGATAATGAATATATGTTTTTAACTGCTTGCAAATTGCCCTTTTTTCTAGGAAGGAGGGGATTGCGTTAAGGAAGGCTGATTGAGCAAAGAACCAAAGCAGTAAATTCAAGGAGTTTTTTAATCCCATTAAAAAAAATTCATTTGTGGTAACCCTTCTACAATCCAAGTTTCTCAAATATTTCCTCCTTTTCTCATTCGTTTTAGAGTCAAATTCTTTAGAGAGCATTCTTCCTAAATTGTAACTACTTCCTTGCTTTCCACTTACTCCACAAACCAGACATTCACCCTAAATAATACTTTCTACTTGTTCTCATTATTTGTTCACTACTTTTTAAAAATTTATTTTATTTATTTTTGGCTGCATTGGGTCTTTGCTGATGTGCACGGGTTTCCTCTAGTTGCGGCGAGTGGGAGCTACTCTTCGTTGCAGTTTGCAGGCTTCTCACTGCGGTGGCTTCTCTTGTTGCGGAGCATGGGCTCTGGGTGCATGGGTTTCAGTAGTTGTGGCACGTGGGCTCAACAGTTGTGGCTCACGGACTCTAGAGCGCAGGCTCAGTAGTTGTGGTGCACAGGCTTAGTTGTTCTGTGGCATGTGGGACCTTCCAGGACCAAGGCTTGAACCTGTGTCCCCTGCTTTGGCAGGCGGATCCTTAACCACTGTGCCACCAGGGAAGCCCTGTTCAGTAGCTTTTTTGTGAAGACTTTCTCAAATTTCCCTGTCAGAATAGCTTTTTCAAGTCTTTATATGTACCTTTTTTTTTCTTTTGATTTAGTAAATTATTTTTTATTTAACAAAATTTATTTATTTATTTATATTGAAGTATAGTTGATTTACAATGTTGTTAATTACTGCTGTACAGCAAAGTGATTCAGTTATACATTTACATATATATATATACACACACATTCCTTTTAAAAAATATCCTTTTCTATATGTAACTTTTTATAGAACATTTGTGGAAGAAGACACTTTGAGTTTTCAGAAAGTAGGTTGAACAAGTTAGTCAAAATTAATACAGTTGTGAATATTACAAATAGTGATAATTACTATTATCAAGGGTAGTTTTGCAACCTTTTTACGGGTCTTTAGAACATTTCTGACAGTTTCAAAATTTTCTTAAACAATTATACTGGGGGGTGGTGGTCTAACAATTTGTTTGTATATGTGAACTTAATATTTTACTTTTTAAAACACTTTTAAACTTCTTATAAGTTTCTAATTTATTTCCAGGTAATCATATCTAAATGTTTTTAAAAAATTGAACCAAAATCTTCTGTGGTTAGTAAAATGGCTTTATGACTTTAAAACTCAAGGGAAGTAGAACTTTCAATGGATTCACAGGGCTAGACAAAGATTTGAATTCAGGGTCACCAAAAAAGAAAACTCTAGAACCCAAGGACTAAAACCCAGCTCATTTAAATGTCCAATTCAATTAAGGTGACAGGAATTTTTTTTAGGTAAAAAGAAAAGTGGAGAGAATATAACACCAGCAGATCTGAATAAAGGAGAATATTAAAGGGCATTCTTTAAGTAGAAGAAAAATAATCCTAGGTAAAAGTTCAGAAATGAAGAAAAGAATGAAGAGAAAGAGAAGGGAAACATCGGTAAATCTGAATGAATATTGACTGCATACAAATTAATAATGAGATTTGACATATATAGAATTAAAATACATAACTTCAATAATGTATAATTGAGGTTAAACTGAATAAGCTGTTCAAGATTCTTGTACTGTTTGGGAAAATCTGTAAGCACTAAACAAATAACTTAAAAATTTATAATTAACAACTGATTACAAGGGGAATAGAAAACAAAAGATGATAAATCAAAAGGAAGGCATGAATGGGAAGAAAATGAATACAGAAAAGGCAAGATACTCTCACAGTTAGAGGGTAGATTTAAACATTATATAATTGTATTATGTACAAATGGATTAAAAACTCCAGAAGAAACAGATTGTCGGATTAGTTAAAATAAAAATTAACAAAATGCAATTATAAGAGAAATAAAATACAAAGATACATAAAAGATGACAGTAAGCAGATAAAAAAAGATATATCATATATACAATAAAAAGAATGATGCTATAGTAATATTAGTATCAGGCAAAATAGACTTTAGGGCAAAAACAACAAAGATAAAGAAGACACTTCATAATGATAAAATATCCAATTTACCAGAAAGATATAACAATTCTAACTTTGTTTTTACCTAAGAACACAGCTTCAAAATACATAAAGCAAAAATTAAAAAACTAAGACACAGATAGATCTATACTCACAGTGGGAGACTTAAAAAAAAATTTCTCAGTAACTGATAGAATAAGCTGACAATCAGCAAGAAGATAGACTTCAGCAACATAATTAACAAACCTGACATATCTAGAACAGCACTCAGTACCTATACACTACACATTTTTCCAAGTGCACACAGAATATTTACAAAAATTGGCCAGGTGGCAAAGCAAATTTCAAGAAACCTGCAAAGACTGAAATCATACAGAGAATGTTTTCTGACCACAGTAGAATTTAAAATAAGATTATTAGAAAATCCCCATATGGTACAAAATTAAGGAAAATACCTCCAAATAACCTGAGGGCCAAAGACATCACAATGGAAATGATCAAATACTTTGAACTCAATAATTATGAAGGTGTTACATAAAAAAAGTATGGCAGGGCTTCCCTGGTGGCCCAGTGGTTGAGAGTCCGCCTGCCGATGCAGGGGACACGGGTTCGTGCCCCGGTCCGGGAAGATCCCACATGCCGCAGAGCGGCTGGGCCCGTGAGCCATGGCCGCTGAGCCTGCGCGTCCGGAGCCTGTGCTCCACAACGGGAGAGGCCAAAAAAGTGAGAGGCCCGCGTACCGAAAAAAAAAAAAAAAAAAAGTATGGTAGCCTTGACAGCCTTAAATACATTAGCAAAAAAGAATGGCTAAAATCAATAAGTATCCAACTCAAGAAGTTAGAAAAGATCAGCAAATTAAACCCTAAGAAGGTAAAAATAATGAAAGAGAAGAAAGTAATGAAACAGAAATCAAAGACACAGTAGCAAGGATTAAAATTTATTTTTTAAAATCCAAATAAGATTGATAAATCCTAGCAAGACTGTTTAAGATAAAAGACAGAAGACAAAAAATTTAGTGCCAGGAATGAAAAAGGAGACATCCCTTCAGATCCATATAGTCATTTAAAAGATAAACAGAGGATAGTATGCCCCTAAATTTAAATTTTATATTAAGTAGATCAATTCCTAGACAAACACAACTTACTAAACTGAAACAAAAAGAAATAGAAAATATGAATAGTCCTACAACTACAAAAGTAATAGAAGCTGTAATTAAACACCTTCCTCAATAAAAGCTTTAGGCCAACATGGTTTCCCTGGTGAATTCCATGAAATTTCTAACTTCCTCTCTCTCACAACTCTTTTCTTTTTTAAATATTTATTTACTTACTTATTTGGTTGCACTGGGTCTTAGTTGCAGCATGCATGTGGGCTCTAGTTCCCTGACCAGGGATCGAACCCGGGCCCCCTGCATTGGGAACGTACTGTCTTATCCACTGTGCCACCAGGGAAGTCCCTCACAGCTCTTTCTTGTCCTCACTGTAAGCTGATGGCCTTGCTTTGTATTTTATTGAGAATAAAGAAGCTATCATCATAGGATGTCTCAATCTTCTCACCACCAGTTGACCTATATCTGCTCCCATCTTCTCCATCCTGCCTAGTGTTACTGCAGAAGAGGTGGCCTCCCTGCCTATCAAGGGTAAATCTCTCCTTTTCCATTCGTGATTTTATCCCTTTTCACTTTCTCAGACACTTTAGTTCTTCAGTGACCCTACCTTTGTCTTGCAACATCAATTTCTCCCTCTCCACTGGAACATCATTCCTACCAGCACTTAAGCACGTCAGAAAAGCTTCCATCTCAAAAATAGAAGTTTTCTTTTTTTATTCCTTCTTTCTTCCAGCCACTGCCCCATTTCTCCTTCCCTCTTCATATGGAGGGGGGCTTTCTCTAGAGAGCCATCGAAACTATCTCCAATGTCTACCTTTCACTCACTCTCTAAAAATACATATATAATATCAGATATAAAAATAATATATGTAACACATGTGCAAGTTATGGATGGCATCACAATAAAATAAATATGCAAATGATCTAGAATCCATTATTCCTTTCCATCTCCACCATCACCGTAATCAAAGTTACTGTAGTCTCTTGCCTAGACTATTTTTTTATTTTTTTAATTAAAAAAATGTTTTTTGGCTGTGTTGGGTCTTTGTTGTGGCACGGGCTTTCTCTAGTTGCAGCGAGTGGGGGCCACTCTTCGTTGCGGTGCGCGGGCTTCTCATTGTGGTGGCTTCTCTTGTTGCGGAGCACAGGCTCTAGGCGTGCAGGCTTCAGTAGTTGTGGCACATGGCTCAGTAGTTGTGGCTCACAGGCTTAGTTGCTCCGCGGCATGTGGGATCTTCCTGGACCAGGGCTTGAACCCGTGTCCCCTGCATTGGCAGGTGGATTCTTAACCACTGCGCCTCCAGGGACATCCCTGCCTAGGCTATTTTAACTACCCCTTTACTATTACCTGCTTTATGCCCTTAAGTTCAATTTCCATCAACAGGGTTATTTCCCAAAGATCCTTGATTAAAACCTTTCAGTGCCTTCACACTCACTTTGATTAAAATCCACTCGCCTTACCATGGTCCACAGAGTCCTAAATAGGCAGTCTCCTGTCTATCTTATTCTGTACCAGTCTCCCTCTCCTTATGCTTCAGTCAGGCAGCTTCCTCAGATTTCTAGAACTCAGTACATTACGTTCTGCCACCTGGAATGCTCTTCTTCTCCTCTTGCCTTGGCTGGCTTCTTCTGACTCTTCAAGTGTCACCTCCTCAGAAGCCTTCCCCGACCACACTATCTGAAGGAGGCACCCTCATCCCCATCCAAGTTACTCTTTCGTATCCTCATGGCTAAGTTATTATGACCATTATTTAGCGTGCTTTTGTTTATTTACTTGTCGATTATCTATTTCTCAAAATTTAATCTTCATGAGAGAAGGGACCTGGTCCATCTTACTGCTGTAGACATAGTACTTAACTCAGTTCACAGTATACAGATAAGTATTAAATATTGATTGTTTAATATTAATAGATATTGGTTAAATAGATAAATACTATATTTTGATTCTCAACTGATTTACTGTTTGTATTCTCAATTAGTTAAGATTCTGGAGGACAGTAGGAGGGTTCCTCTGAAGTTTCAGCAGGCATGCAAGTGAAGAAAGTTAAATAATTAGTCAATGGGTTTAGCTTAAAAGAAATCAGTGGTGATCCTTAAGAAAGCACTTTCAAGAAAGTTAATGAAGGAAGGGATATCAAATAATGGTTAAACAAATGAGAAAAGTGTAAGGTTAAATGGAGAAGACAGACTGAAAGGGATATTTTATGCATGTTTGAAGGAAGGAACAATTATGAAAATCATGTTCCCAGGAAAGTAAAGTAGGATGTGATGGGAACTAGAAGTAGAGGGCAGAGATGGCAGGAGAGGGAAAAGGAGAGGGAAACAGAGGGAGAGAGGGAGGGAAGGCAGGAGGGAGGGAGGAAGGGAGGTGTAGGGAGAGAGGAAGAGAGGGGGAGAATCTTTTCCTTTGAGATAGCTTTGAGCAAAGATACCTCCCAAAATATTTCAGATGTTCTGCTCCATCCATGACCTACTGACTTCAAAGAAATCCCATCCTCCTGGTTCTTATTAACTCACCTGAATAGGGGGTTTTTGAAGTTTCTCTCACTACCACCCATGGTCCTTTTCCATCCTCCAAATGAGATATCATGTCTGGTTTGGAAACTGCAAGCCCTGTTCAGAGAAAAATGAATAGGATTTGATTGTGCCTGTGAGCAAGAACTAGGGCCAAATTCAGTCTCAGCTCCTGATCTTCTGTGCAGAGTGGTTACTACAAGAAGTTTTAGGGGTGCACTGTCCAATGCCGCTGACAATAGCCACCTACGGATATTTAATTCTGAATTTAAGTTAGTTAAAATTGTATAAAATTTAAAATTCAGTTCTTCAGTTGCACTAGCCAGATTTCAAATTCTCAACAGCCACAGTGTAGAGCCTGCTACACTGGAAAGCACAAATACAAACCATTCCCATCACAGGAGAACACTACTGTACAGCAGTGTTGTAGAGAATTACAAAGGTACCTCAAAGAAGCTCAACATGATGATCCCAGGTTTGGGGATAACCTCAGTGTAGAAAGAAAATAGACATATTTGTTCCTTTCTTTCTAGAGGCACTGATAAGTCTTATGGAAGTGACTAGAAAAAACAGTCCTAAATAGGAGGGACTGTCAATAATCTCCAAGATTCCAATGAAATATGTATTTCTTACTCTACAATGGGCGAACCACTGAGTTAAGAGCAAGAGACAGCATAACTCCCAACAATATGCCCCTAAGATTATGAGATTTTAATGCTTAAATTCTAACCCAAAATTCAGTTAAGTACTTTAGAGGGTCTGTATCTTCAGTAAACCTGGTCCAGTGGGCAGATACATAAACCTGGAGGTTACCCTTACCCAAGGAGACAAGATTCCTATAATTCTCTAGCATCACATCCTTGTGCAGTTTCCTCTGTGTAGGGTCCATCAACCTCCACTCTTCCAATGTGAAGTCTATAGCCACATCTTTAAATGTCACTGATTCCTAAAATAAATACAGAGATCACTCCAGGACTGTACAGTTAGACCTATTAGGCAGATTAATACATACAAAACTGGGGAAGAAAACTAGAAAACTAGTAGTTTCCAGCCAAATCATCTTTTCTCCCTCAAAATCCTGCCTTATGTATAATATCAACTCCTTTTCAGTTCTATTCTATAAAATATGGCTTAATAAAAGACACAGTTTATCATTCAGATTGTAGATATAGAATATTATAAGCTATCTATCTGAGAAAGAAAAATAAGAAATTGTGGGACTTTGGGGAGATTCTCTGGTCAGGATATAAAATATATGTATAGGGCTTCCCTGGTGGCGCAGTGGTTGAGAGTCCGCCTGCCAATGCAGGGGACAGGGTTCGTGCCCCGGTCAGGGAAGATCCCACATGCCGCGGAGCGGCTGGGCCTGTGAGCCATGGCCGCTGAGCCTGCGCATCAGGAGCCTGCGCTCTGCAACGGGAGAGGCCACAACAGTGAGAGGCCTGCGTACCGCAAAAAAATAAAAAATAAAAAATAAATAAAATATATGTATATATGCTTGTAAAAAAAAATCAAAGGATGAGCCATAAAATTGTTTTAATGGTTGGTTATCTATTGGAGGAAGGGGGAAACAGAGTGAAGAGGACTGGAATAGAAGCTAGATTCCCTTGAATATTTCTTGTTTTTTAGATTTGACTTTTGAACCATGTAAATATATTATTATAAAAGAAAAACTAAATAAAAAAGCAATTTCTAAATATTAAAAGTAAAATGAAACCAGCTGGTAGCATACACATTCATCAGAGAGGAAATATTTTGAGTATCTTTAAAACATAGTAATTTTTCTGTATATCTCTTGTGAGATATATCCTGAGGAGAAAAAGAATTGTAAAAAACTAAACAACACATTTTCAGTAACTAACCATTATTGTTGGTGGCAGTGATGGAAAAGTTATTTTGTAACTGTTGCATGTGTAGTGTTGGATAAAGCAAATCAGTATTGATATCATTGAGAACTAATAAATTTGACATGGGAGAAAGAAGATATAAATGTAATATCAATGAGATTATGTAAAATGAGATTATGTACAATCCAAAATTGCATGGGAAATATCGGTATAAACTCATGAAGTATTTTAAGGAAAACAGGCCACATACTTCCTATCTCCGTCCACTCAATAGGTCTAGAAACAATAACCAAAAAGGTACCATTATGCAGTCCAGACCGTGGCCCCAACAGATTACTTTCTGCTACAAGAAACCAGGGCTTGGAACTTTCTGTCAAAATAAAAAGCAAGGGGGCTTCCCTGGTGGCGCAGTGGTTGAGAGTCCACCTGCCGATGCAGGGGACACGGGTTTGTGCCCCGGTCCGGGAAGATCCCACATGCCGTGGAGCGGCTGGGCCAGTGAGCCATGGCCGCTGAGCGTGCGCATCCGGAGCCTGTGCTCTGCAACGGGAGAGGCCACAGCAGTGAGAGGCCCGCATACCGCAAAAAATAAAAAAAATTTTTAAAAGCAAGAAAACTATCAAAGACTAGTACTAGGATCACGTCTGAGACTTGCGAGACAACTTCAAGAGGCTCTCACTGGCCAAAGATGGGACAATTTGAACATCCATAAGAACAATAACTGTAGTGGGCTTCAAAAATATCTAATACATTTAAAATTATGATTTCACTATAAAACTCTAAGGATACTCATTGATCATCTTTGGAGAATGCCTGGAAACTGGTAAATAAAGAGAAAGAATTAACCCTTTGCCCTTCTTTTCCTATGCAAAATACATATAGTTTGCACAGTAATAAAATGTAATCAGATGGTTTATGAGGGGAGGTTTCTCTTTATGGAAGTACTCCAGCTAATATGTGAACATGGAATGAAAAAATTAGAATATCACCATTTTGCTACCTCTAATGAATTAAAGGATTATCAGTGGCTGCTAACACACCAAAGAGGCTTCAACTAGGCATTATGTAGCTTCTGGTAGTAGATACCAGAAATATGAAATACCAATGCCAAAAAATTTTTAAAAAATCAAAATCTGAATCTGATCAAGCCTCTAGATTTAACTAACAATATAAAGGAAATACAGGAGACAGAACTGCATGTTAAAAAAAATCCATGGGGATGCAATAAATAAAATCCATATTGTGACAAATTCTAAATCAATGCTGTCCAACAAATATAATGCAAGTCACAAATGGAATTTTAAATTTTCTAGTAGTCACATTAAAAATAAAAAGAAACAGGTGAAATTAGTTTTAATAATATATTTTAGTCTAATATGTACAAAATATAATTTCAACATGCAATCAATGCAAAAATTATTTATGAGATAATTTACATTATTTTTTGTATTAAGTCTTTGAAATATGATGTGTATTTTAAGTTAACAGTACATCTCAACTTGAACTAGTCACATTTCAGGTACTCAACAGCCACATGTGGCTAGTGGCTCCTGTATTGGACATCACAGCTCTAAAATACAAATGACTTGGTTTCTTCAATAAATGATTACAAAGGGAAAAAAAGAGGGAGGGGGAAACCTCTAGATTAAAAGTGACCTAAGAGACAATATCAGCTAATATGACTCAACTGGGGAAACAAATACCAAATTAATATGTGATAATATTAAGGCTTACTGTTCATTTTTTAGCTGTAATTATGGTATTATACTTAAAACTAAAAAAATCTGTTATAGATACATAATGAAATATTTATAGATGAGATTATATAATGTCTTGGATTTGCTTCAATATAACCAGTGAGGGAGGGTAGTATTACAGATGAAATATGATTGCCATGGGTGTTAAGTGTTGAAGGTTCAATGGGATTCATCAAACTACTCTCTCTACTTTTGTGTAAGTATGGTTCATATTATTTGTCAGGTACTGATATGAAGGCTTTTAATGTAATGATTGAATCCTCACAATAAGGAAGCTGCTATTTACAGATAAGGAAAGTGAGGCATCGAGAGGTTAGGTGCCTTGCCTAAGTTCACAGAAGACACAAAGTCTCGATTCAAATCCAGGCAGTTTGGTTCCAAAATTCAAACTCATAAGCACTATACTCTATGATCTGGTAAATTAAGAACGCTACTTAGCTGACTAATCAGGCAAAGGTCTCAAGTTAGACTGTATTTGGCTAAGGTATGCTCTGTATTGGAAGAAACAGATTTCCTCTGGAGTGTTTTTCTGCCATACAGATATGTATGCTCATCAAATTGTTTAAATCTTTTTATTTATTAGGACCTCAAAGTTTGTGAAGCATGTTTTATATAATTCTACTAATAATAAAACATGGCTAATGTGAGAGATAATGACAGTTCATAAACTGTTAATATTGTTAATCACTTCACACATAACTCAAATTATAATGAACTTACTGCGTTTGTTTTCTTTTCCCATCTGGAGCTAAGCCCCAGGAAAAATCTAAGAAGGCCCTCAGCTCTCACCTCTGGCTACCTTGAGGCTCTGCAAGCAAGAAGTGAAGTATGTGATACAGGATACTTTATCATTAGGAATTATAATGTGACCATCTGTCAAATTAGGGCTGCTACCACTGAGAGAAATAAAATCTGTCAAAATGACGCTACCAGCCCTGGTGTTACCACACCTAACGAGCCAGATGGTTCTTATGGTGAACTTGCAATGTGCTGGAACATTAAGAATTACTGCAGTAAAAGAGGTGCCGTCTCTTCATTCCCCTTAGATACAATGCCAAGTATTACCTTTACCAATTCTTGTTCTTCTGCCTGAAGGTGAAGATCTTCATTTGGCTGGGGAATTTCAGGACTCTAAGGGGATACAGGATAAAATCACTCAGTGACAGGCTGCCTATTACCTACAACAGAGTCTCAGCAAGCACCACCAGTCCACTGTGGATGCGGTATATATGAGATCACCTCTTTTACTGTATTATTCAGGGATGAAATTAAGGTCCCATAGCAACATCCAAACATAATCTTCTTTCACCTCATTTGAGACAATGACACACACAAGACTGAGAAAGATACAACTGCATAATTTTTAAAGGAGACTTTTAACAAATAACCTATCAAAACAAAAATAAACTTATAATAAGGGGTCTTAGATGCTACATAATCCTTTTTCCTATGAGGATGAAATCTGTTTCTCAGAAATAATCTATCTTGCTCAAGAATAACATTCAAAACCTACTAACACCATCTGTTTTCTACAACTGAAAGATCATGTGTGGGGGTTGGGGGGGCCTGTCTCAGTACTCTTTCAGAGAATATTTCAGGGACCTCTCACAACATTGCTTTCTTCCAAATCTTAGACACTATATGCCTATAAAGACCTGATTTCATAAATGAAATGAAATTTTACTCTACCTTCTAGTAGTACTTACTGATTTTAGATTTTTAAAAGTTATGGGTAATAGAACTATTAAATTTCATTGAGAAAAATGTTATCTTAGTTCTTCCCTTTCAAGTTCTTACCTTAGAAAGTACAAATATTCAGGGGACTTCCCTGGTGGTGCAGTGGTTGAGAGTCCGCCTGCTGATGCAGGGGACACGGGTTTGTGCCCCGGTCCGGGAAGATCCCACATGCCGCGGAGGAACTAAGCTGGTGCGCCACAACTACTGAGCCTTCGCTCTAGAGCCTGCAAGCCACAACTACTGAAGCCAGCGGGCTTAGAGCCGGTGCTCCGCAACAAGAGAAGCCACTGCAATGAGAAGCCCGCGCACCACAACGAAGAGTAGCCCCCAATCGCTGCAACTACAGAAAGCTCGTGCACAGCAACGAAGACCCGACGCAGCCAAAAATAAATATGTTAATTTTTTTTAAAAGTACAAATACTCAGCTTCGAAAAAATTAAGGATGATGTGAACCTCAACCTCTGATAATTAGAGATGTGTTTGATCTGGCCTATACTAGGCAAATACTTTAGATCTACTGATAAAGTGAAACATTTTGGCTTTCATTTATCTTTTCAAGGGTATGTCTTAAGAACTATTTACATGTTTTATATTCTTGCTACAAAAAATAAAAGATCACTACTACAAGTTATTATGGATAATTTCTGTAACAAATTATATTTGTTGGTACTACCTTTCTTCTGAATCTCCTATTTCAAAAAGTCACTTCTAAAACACAGCTTTAATCACATTAATGCCCACCTCAAACACATCCAAACACACACACATACATATATACACTTAAATGTCTTCAGGGAAACATGAAAAGATTCAACTTAATTATCTAAATTCCAGCCCTACCTTTCACAAGTTTCCATCTTGAATCACTGGCTCACTCACTGTGCTCTGCCTCAGAGCCTTGCCTTCTCACCTGAAGTACCCTCACAAATAATTTACAACAATTTAAATCCCACTTGTAATTGGGCACCAGCTTAAATCTAACCATCCTCATGAGCTTTCCATAACCGATTCATCCCATACTAATATCCCATTTCTTTCCTTACAAAAGCACTCATCAGCTTTACCATACTGCTCGGTAACTATCATTCACCTAAATAAATTATGTAACTATTTCTTTTGTATGCCTTACCTCAGTGAGACTGTAAGCACCCTACAGCCAAGCACTGTGTCTTAAACATCTTCTTTCTCTCCATGTCATCTATTAAGCTTGATCACTTCTTAATGGGTAGAAAAGAGGAGAACACTAAGAGTGGGCACAAGGGGAATGGTCCCTATGAATTAAGGGTGTGTGTATGTATGCACATGTATTGTTTTGTTCAAAATTTCCTAAACAAAATTTTCCAATTGGAAAATATTCCATTCTACTACCCCATAAATAACTGAAATTTCCTGGGAACAATACAAAGTTAACATCGTAAGTAAATTTTCCAGACTGCCTATCATATCTAAAGATAGCACAGATTTTTTTCTGCAAGATTACGTGTCTTGATACTTGTTTCAATATGCATACTGAATCTTCCTATATAGATTACAAGCTTTACTATGATGAACCAAATTTTCATGGATCAAACAACTTGATTCAGTTACCAAAGGGAGTGTGGGTGAGGTCAAGTCACACGACTTCAGGAAAAGTAGTCGTGCTCTCAAAGCAGGACAACAGGTCAGAAGCAGAGGAAACCCCAACTTACCAGAGGTCCAACTGAAAAAACCACAGCAGCCATAATCTCTTCCTCTGGGCTCCCCTCTCTGGAAAGAGTGGAGTCCTGCAAAGACATATCTAAGAAAGAGAAATAAGCCATGAAAACCAATCCTGCCTTGGAAATCTCAGACTTACCAAGTTGAAACGTTGACATTACAAATAAGTATGACCTTGCTAAAGAACACAAGATTAACCTGCGCGATCGGCGAGGAAATATGATTCTTACCAGTGTAGAGCTCGAGATTTTAATACCACGAAATGTAGTTACAGTTGGCAGATCAGACATTGTACAAGGAACTTTGAAACTACTTTCTCACTTGACCGTCACGTCACCCAATAGAAACTAATTCCCGTTCCACCGGGGAGGAAACTGAGGCTTAGGAAAACTAGAATACTGATATTTTACCCAAGCTGTGTAGGGTCCCAGATCAGTCTAGTTCCAGGCCACACCTGCCCCACTACCTCAACTTGCTGGGAAAGAAAACAATTCCATCTTCCCTTGCCACAACCACCGCCTCCTCTAACAGTGGAATAATCCAGTAATCTCTTTCTTCCCGTCCTTTCTCGGAAGAGTGAACTCACTAAAACTTCCACAGGCCTCTGCTCCATGTAAAGAGAACACCACAACTCCAAACTTAAAAGATAATAGAAGTCTTGTACATGCCTCTCTCAATCTCATATTCAAATAGCTCTTTATCTATCTTTTCTATATCAGGCAAACCCAAATAGAAAGGAAGTAGGGATAACAATAATGATATAAGAGAAAGTGGAATCCAATGCACAAAGCACTGAGCAGTAGTTCTTTTATACTGAAAATAGTTATATGCCTAATAAAGGCTTTACACTGTGGAGAAACAGGGTGGCAGAGATCTTGTTCAGATACCCCAGGCATTGATTCTGCCTTCTGTCTTTGGTTAAAGATATGGCCTTGCTGATGCTGAGTTTGGTTTGAAAACAAGAGCCTGAGGTTAGTAAACATTCTCTTAACAAGTGCATGGTTGCAGAATGATGCTGCAAGGCATATAAAAGGGCAGTGGCACAGTGAGAAATGAGCTTTCCAAATCTTGTGAAATTCTACTCTTTAATAAGAGTTTCTTAGACAGTTTGACATTCTCACTACCCAGTAGAGCTTTTGGGACCCAAAGGAATCTAGGCCGAATTATGCTGAATCTGTCCCTGCCTTATATGTACAATTTGCCTCCATTAAGAATCCACATCCGGCCCAGTGGGGAAAAAAAGAAAAAAAGAATCCACATCCAAGAGCTTTGTGCTCAGAAGTATAAAGACCAGTGGCATCAACACCACCAGAGAGCTTGTGACACATGCAAGACCTCAGGCCCAACTCCAGAAACTACCGAATCAGAATCAGCCTTTTGTTATGATCTCTAGGTGATTCATATGCACACATTGAAGTTTAAGACACACTGATCTAAAATAGATCATTCCAATAAACTGGACAACCTAGAAGAAATGGATAAATTCCTAGAAACAGACAACCTACCAAGCCTGAATCATGAAGAAATAGAAAACCTAACAGACTGATCACTAGTAAGGAGGCTGAATCAGTAATCAAAACTCTCCCAATGAACAAAAGTCCAGGACCATATGGCTTCACTGGTGAATTCTACCAAATGTTTAAAAAATACCAATCCTGCTCAAACTCTTCCAAAAAATAGAAGAGAACACTTCCAAACTCATTTTATGAAGCCAGCATTACCCTGATACCAAAACCAAGCAAGGGTACTACAAGAAAAGAAAATTATAGGCCAATATCCTTGATGAACACTGACACAAAAATCCTCAAAAAATATTAGCAAACTGAATTCAACAATGCATTAAAAGGATCATGTACCATGATCAAGCGGGATCTATTTCAGGGATGCAAGGATGGTTCAACATCTGCAAATCAACAAACGTGACACACCACATTAACACCATGCAGGATAAGAATAATATGATCCTCTCAACAGGGGTAGCAAAAGCATTTGACAAATTTCAACATCATTTATGATAAAAACTCTCAACAAAGTGGGTACAGAGGATATGTACCTCAACATAATATATGTTATGGGAAGCCCACATATTATTGGAAGTTCTAGACAGAGCAATTAGGCAAGAAAAAGAAATAAAATGCAACCAAATCAGAAAGGAAGAATTAAAATTGTCACTACTTGCAGATGACATGATTTTATATATAGGACCCCCTAACAGATCCTGCCAAAAACTGTAGGAATTAGTGAACAAACGCAGTAAAGTTGGAGGATATAAAATCAATATACAAAATCTGCTGTGCTTCTATACACTAATAATGAACTATCACAGAGAGAAATTAAGAAATCAATCTCATTTACAATTGCTTAAAAAAAGAATAAAATACCTAGGAATAAATTTAACCACAGAAGTGATTAGCTGGTATACATTGAAAACTTAAAGACATTAAGTGGAAAGATATTCCATGCTCATAGATTCGAAGAACTAATGTTGTTAAAATGTCCATACTACTCAAAGCAATCTACAAATTTGATCCAGTATGATTAAAATTTGCAAGGCATTTTTCACAGAAGTAGAACAAGTAATTCTAAAATTTGTATAGAACCACAAAAGACCCCAAATTGTCAAGGTAATTCTGAGAAATAAGAACAAGGCTGGAGGCATCATGCTTCCTGATTTCAAACTATATTACAAAGCTAGAGTAATCAAAACAGTATGGTATTGGAAAAAGAAGGCACAGATCAATAGAACAGAATAGAGTACAGAAATAAACCCACACATAAATTTACAACAAAGGAGCCAGGAATATACAATGGGGAAAGAACTGTCTCTTCAATAAATGGTGTTGGGGAAACTGGACAGCGATCTGCAAAAGAATGAAACTGGACCCCTAACTTACACCATACACGAAGATTAACTCCAAATGGATTAAGTAATTGAATATAAGGTCTGAAACCATAAAACTCCTAGAAGAAAACATAGGCAGTAAACTCCCTGACATCGATCTTGGAGATGACTTCTCAGGCACCAGAAGCAAAAATAAACAAGTGGGACATCAAACTAAAGCTTCTGCACAGCAAAGGGAAGTCCAGAAAATGAAAAGGCAACCTATAGAACAAGAGAAAATATTTGCAACTCATATATCTGATAAGGCGTTAATACCCAAAACATAAAAAGAACTCATACAACTCAACAGCAAAAAAGCAAACAATCTGATGTAAAAAATGGGCAGGGATGAATAGATATTTTTCCAAAGAGGACATACAGATGGCTAACAGGTACATGAACAGGTGCTCAACATCACTAATCATCAGGGAAATGAAAATCAAAACCACAATATCACCTCACACCTGTCAGTATGGCTATTATCAAAAAGACAATACATAACAAGTGTTGGCAAAAACATGGAGCAAAGAGGACACTTTGCACCACTGGTGGGAATGTAAACCGGTGCAGTCATTATGGAAAACAGTATGGAGATTACTCCAAAAATTAAAAATATAACCACCATATTTTCCAGCAATTCCACTTCTGGGCATTTATCAGAAGGAATAGAAAACACTAACTCCCAAAGGTATCTGCACCCCGTTACTGCAGCATCATTTACAACAGCCAAGACGTGGAAGCCACCTAAGTGTCCACTGATGCACGAATGCATAAACAAAAAGCGGCACGTGCCCACAGTGGAATATTAGCCACAAAAAAGGAGGAAATCCTGCCGTTGTGACAACATGAGTGGACCTTGAGGGCATTATGCTAGGTGAAGCAAGTCACAGAAATAACGCGCAATCTCACTTATATGTGGAGCCTAAAAACAAAACACCCGAGACTCATAGAGACAGACTGGTGGTTGGGAGGAGGTGGAAAAATGGGTGAAGGTGGTCAAAAGGTACAAACTTCCAGGTATAAAATAAGCCAGTCCTGGGACTATAATGCACAGCACGGTGACTAGAGTTAACAATACTGTGTTGCGGGAATTCCCTGGCGGTCCAGTGGTTCGGACTGGGAGCTTTCACTGCCCTGGCCGGGGTTGGATTCCCTGGTCGGGGAGCTGAGGTCCTGCAAGCCGCGCGGTTCAGCCCAAAAAACTAAAAAAAAAACCCAAACTCCCCAAACTGTGTTGCATATTTGGAAGCTGAGCCGGCAGGAAAGGCTGCCTCCATTTCCCAAAGGCAGGAGAGGGGGGCACCAGTCAGAGCGCCGCTATCGAACCCCAGTCCCTCCGCTCGGGTGCAGAGCCCAGGATGGAAGTTCTCCCTCCTCCAGCCCGCCTGCTTCCCGCACCGCCCTTCTCGGCCCATTGGGGCCCTCTCCTCCCTCAGTGCAGGCGCGGCCCCGGGAAGAGGGGAAGGTCCAGTGGCGCGCCCACCCTGCCCGGCCCTCCGACGCAGCGCTGCCAGGCCGCAGCCTTCTGAGGGAGGTCGGCCCCAGGGGCCTCTGCGGTGGGCGGGTCAGCTCGGGGGCTGGGGCTCCGCCGGGAGCGGCCCCGCCCCGGACGCCGCCGGGAGGCGAGCGCCGAGCGCCGAGCGCCGAGCGCCGAGGGAGGGGCGGCGGGGCCCCGGCCGGTCGCCCGGGTCGACGAGTACCTGGCGGCCGCCTGAGGACAGGGCGCTCGCAGAGCAGTGCGGGAACTCTTCCAGCGATGGCGTCGGCGGCCGGGCGGCCGCGGACGGCAGTGCGCCTGCGCAGCCGGCGGGGACCACGGCGCCCAGAATCCTCCGCGCCGCCACTCTGCTCTTTCGTCGCCTCTGTGCCTGGGTCTTTGAATTGGCATCGTTGACAGTTCGTGGACCTAAAAAGTTCTTTCAGGTTGAGAGGCCACGACTCTGTGTCAAGCACTAGCACTAGCGACACAGAAGAATGACACAGCCCTTGCCTCGCAACACTTCCGTGTGACTAAAGAAAGAAAGCCATTGAGAGAACAGAGAATCTCCTGCAACTAATTAAAGCCCCAGACGCTGGGGTCCGGGGGAGTTGCGTGTCCAGGCTTCTGCCTCTCATTCATCTTGACAGAAAGATCGTAATGCCTTCATTGTAATTTCTGGGTCTTTGAGCTTCTTTCCTTGGCTCATACTAATAAAAAATAATAATAAATTAAATGTTAGCATTATTATTATTTTTAATGCACGTTTTCCTTTGCCTCAATTCCATGGTTTTAATGACTAAAGGCCATCTTCTCCACATTGGGTCACACAGAATCCTCAAGGCTTCTAGAGCAGCTTCCCTTAATGGTGAGACAATTTCCCCTCTAATCCTTCCTTCCTTCCCTCCCTCCCTCCCTCCTTCCTTCCTTCCTTCCTTCCTTCCTTCCTTCCTTCCTTCCTTCCTTCCT